CGCGGCTGAATCGTGGCGACTCGTGAATAATTCATTACCCGTAAATAACGTTAGGACAATTAACGAGGCAGCCGCGATGGGATCGCGAACGATTGTCATTGAGACGCGAGACCCACGGGAGAAAGTATCGGTATTCGGATTTCCAACGTGGCAGGTCGATTCGCACGAATTCGCGCTTGGAATTTGCGCTTGGTATTCGCACTTGGAACTGCCACTTGGAATTGGCGCTTGGAATTTGTTAGAATCGAGAAACGATGCAGGTAACGAGTTCCAACGAGAGACCGACACGTGTCGCGCTACAGGGATGCAAATTTCCAGCAAATTCCGCGAATTCGAAGAAGTTGGCAGGCGTACGAATTAGTCGAAGCGAGTTACAGCGGATTAACCGGCAATCGCGCGAGTTGGCACGCCTTCGAGGTGCCTTGAATCGAACTTGCTCGTTCAACGTTCCCTCGCTTCTTTCGCGGCTGATTTCGTGCCTCGGCGCGGTAAATTAATAACACCCGTTATGTCGCGCGGCGCTCTTAATCGCTTCAGTTCCGCCATCTAGGGATGTCGAGCTTCTTCGTCCTTGTCTCCACGGGTTGACAGAGATGATCACGCACTGCGTCGAACGGGGTCCGGAAACGGAGCTAACGAACGCTACTGTACCCCCGGGCAATCATCAATCTTAACGCACAACCGCGGGTCTCATTAGTCACATTGCAAGGGACGCGTTGATTACCGTTGTAACCATTATATCCCGACCTCCATCCATCTTTTATCTGGCCCGTTCCACGGCCGACCGTAGAGTTCATCGAGCCAGAGACGTCGATTTCTCCGTCCACCCCTACCCCTCGTTTCGTGGGATTAAAAAATTCCACGAGACCGGGCTTGTCGCCAGCGATTCCGCTGCGGTATCTTTCGGTCCCAGCTTGTCCTCCCACGAGGTCGACTGTCTAAGAAGGGTGTGCGGAAAGCTATCTAGGCCGATGACGAGTCGGGTTAAAATGGCAGGAGAACCGAGTCAGAAAGGGCGTGAGAGAGGTGGGAAAAAAGGGTGGATACCGTTGCTAGGCTTACACACCGGTGAAGAACCGTTCGAGCCTTTCGAGAATAGAGCCTCGATGATGGTATTAAGTTAAAGGGAAGAAACGACAGAGATCCGGATCGAAATGGAGGGGTAGGACGAGAGAAGGGTTGAAAAGGGGCGAAGCGGTACGCGAACAGGTGCAGAGGGAATCGGTGAGCTGGTTCGTGCTTCCGTAAAGTCCTATCGATTACTTATCATTCTCAATGCAAACTTTATACCCCGTTGTTCCTGGGTATCGCGCGGAATAAGCTCGGCTGTCAGCGCTCGCGATGTCGGATTACCCAGCTCGCGTCTGACGGAGTCCGTAAAAGTTGGCAGCTCCGCGGAAGCGATCGATCGCTGCCGGAATCTAGCAATTGCTAGCCCGGCTGCTGGCGTTGCTGCTTTACGGCGCGTTGTAAATGGAGCCGATCCGTCGTGTGTACTGTTTTGGTCGGGCCGGGTATTTGGCAGCGACAACCGGGAGCGATCTCGTCGCGCGTAAAAAGCGACGACGCGCGTCTCCTTGGCGCCGGAGTGACCCTGCGCGGCGATCGGCGTCCAGGAAGCGCGAAACCGCCGTTGAATAAGAAAGGAACGAGGCTGCAGGCCAAATAGGGAGACACGTGCATCGTGGACCACGCGACGCTTTAACCGGCATCGTGTCACAAAGTGGACGTGCATTTTTAAAGCGTCGCTACGACTCTGCGGTGTCGTAACGTCGACTAATTGACGCGTTGGTTCACGGCGCACGTTTCAAAGGGAATTCCTCAGACGACGCTCCAACGCGTCCGTGCCTTTGCAGCTCGGCTAAATAAGGGACTGGGTAGGGGAACAACGAGAAACGTGAAATTCTCCTGACTCTTCGACGATCGCTTCTTAACGACATCGTGGAATCACCAGACCTGTCGCTATTATCGCCGCGGGGAGTTCAGAATGGCAGAGATGTCGAAGGAATCGAATTATTCCCTGTATCCCGGACAATTGTCGGCTGGTTTCGAAACGACTGCGTCGTTTAGGGGTGTCGACGAAGTTCCGGAGATGTTCCAAAGATTTATTTATCACGCCGTTGAATGTATCGACTGACAGAATTTAGGGTAGGCCGTTGATGCTCGGAGGGTCGAAAATGATTCCTCGGGATTCCCTTTTCGACTAGGGTTGGTTGAGGTGAATCGTGAAAGGTTTATTAAGCGCGAGAGCGGAATTTAGGGCGTGTCTGTCGGGAAGGGGTTGAAGATTCAGGGTCGCGATTCGGTGAATAACGAGACGTCGTAAAGAAGGGTCGTCGGTGAAGCACGAGCCGAGTGAGGCCGAGGTCGGTATCAGGAAACGTGGATTTTAGCGTAATTCGTTAAAATCTGTTGATTCGGTATGCCAAGGAATAATTCATAGCGCGGGAATTAACCGAGTGGGCGTTTCGCGATATTAGCAAAGTGTAACGCGTGCGTTTATTAAACTTGCATTACTGACAATCCATTTCAGGGTTACTTACATTTGTGGAATTACCGGAGTATTTATATTGGATTCATTACAAAACAGCATGCAAACATATCGGCGGAGTTATTTATTCGTGCGATTATTATTCTGTTTGCTGAAATATTATATCGAATTTATTCGCCATTGTGAATTCACGTTCAATATCATGCTTTCATTGATACGGGCACTACATATTGGAATTTTAACGCGAAATATGAAATGCAATTTTTAGTAATGCGAAATGTGAAATACACTTTGCGAGTACTTGCAGATCAAATGTTATAATTAAAAAGACATTATACGTCGTCGGTGATATGTTTGTTTTTCCGTGACAATGCTATTATTACGGCGCGCGTTGCAAAATGGAGTTTAAAATGTCAGGGAACATCGTTTGAAATATTTTCTGTTCGTTAACGTGTTCTTTGTGATACTTCGAAAACGTCTATTGCCCTTTCAAAGAGAACTCGAATCGTTTTCAAAGCCGTCATTGCATCGACGACGTAACAGGCAAACGATACTGTGAAACATGCTGTTCCTCGAATTTACGCTGAACAATGCTTAAATGGAAGTGCAAAAAATTGTAAATCTACAGGCATTGTTTAATAGCGATCACACAGAGTTGCTCTCTATCGAAATACAAAAGTTTGAAAATTCATCATCCATCAGAGTCATTTAAAAATAGGAGCAATAGGTGAAATTTCATATTTAACGATCAATCGCACCGGTTCTCTTTGTTATTAAATCATCCCCGAATTTGTATAAACTACAAATAAAGCCCAATTCACTGCACCTGTTATTGGGCAGTTTCATTCGTTCATATTTTACGAGCTATAACTATAAAAGAATAAATCACCGGGAACTACGCGCAGCTTACCGAAACTTGGTTACCCCACTGCGTATTCATTTTCCAGCAAATGAATACATGTAACCCCCGATCCGTTCTCTTTTATTCCCTACCTCATTCGACGATTTTACCGCGTGCCCTCGGCGCACGCGATATTCATCGCGCCGAATTACAATGCCATAAATATCCCGTGTTCAGCAAAAAATAATTGTCCCGGCGTTCAGAAGCAAATTCGAAATCAGGCAGCATAATGTCGCTCGATCCTACCTCGATTCCTCGAGTCTCTTACTCTTGCACAAAGAAGCACCTTCGTTCTGATTTATCATTCCTATTCAAACTTCCTAATGGCCGAATTAATAGGTGGCGAATCGCACAAAGGAGCCGTTTGTCCCGTAAAACTTAGGGTCACTAGACTGGAGCGCGATAGATCTTGCTTACCACCCCCAGCGCCGCGATACACCCCCATAAATCCGGCCAATCATGAAGCATTCGCCGTCGTACGCTTTCCACGCCATAAAAGCCTTGCTTTTATACCCCTCGTCTCGTATTTCCCGCTTTTTCCTCGCCGCTTATAACGCGACCCGCTTGCAACCCGACTGTCTCCGGTTTCATTGTTGCACGGGTGATTCGACGAGGGCAGGACGATGGTGGCCATCGTAAGGAGGTTTCACCCGGTGCGCCGTAACGGCGCGCATGAAAGAGACCTTGCGCTGAATTATACAGAGTCGCATGAAAAATTCGCGCAATGAGCGGCAGTCCGAGTTGCAGCGTATAAGGAGATTCGCATTATCGTGCATGTTGGATGAGCGGAGGCGAGCGGAAGGTCGAAAAGAGGATGCTCGCGATATGAAATTTTGATCAGGCGTGCAAGTAGGTCCGGAATCGGAAGTTACCTGGCACCCATGGGAACGGGTGGCCCGTGAGCGAATGCGTGCAAAGTGGCTGACGGAAAGGTCAGCCGTACGACTCGTCATCGAGCTACCGATCCGATTTTCCTTCTCTCTGTCCGTTTCTTTCTTGTTCTTCGTTGAGTCGATTTAACGGAGAATTTTTCAGTAACGGTGTCGTTTCGTTTCGGGAATCGAGTAGACGAATTGCGAGGAAGCTTTTACGAATGATATCGAGGTTACAGGGATGTAAATCGTTTAGGGAGGACGATTTTAGTTGCTTTTCGTGGTCTCGTTGGGTTCCATTAATCATGGCGTATGGGAGGCTTCTTGAAGGTTTATATAAAGAGATATATACGAGGAGTCGGAAATTGGATCTTTGCTATAATTTATGCAGTATGAAATGAAGTACTTTTTCCTTTTAGTGACTGAGTTACAGGAACGAGGACAAAATGGAATATTCTATCGGTTACAACTACTATGGCGGAACGATAGTAATATTCTCGAGCTCGTGCGAGCAAGGAAAGGCAATGCGCGATAATTAATAGTAGATATAATCGATAATTACAGGATATTTCGGATGCTCCCAGGATATTAACCCGAATCAACGCCTCAGCCGATTTCGTTTCTTTCCAAGGGTTACAGGAAACAAACGGAATCGGTGTTACAACGCCTTTCAACCCCCGTTGGTATCGCGTTCGTTCACTGCTACATACTAACCTTCGACTTCCGTCTGTTTCAGACCGCTGCTGAAGCAGATAAAGAACTCGGCCGAGTCTCACATTGTACTGGATTGCTCCACCGAGAGGATTTACGACGTGCTGAAGCAGGCGCAGCAAATAGGGATGATGAGCGACTATCACAGTTACCTCATCACCTCTCTGGTGAGTCCTTTTAATTAAATGAGAATGCAATTAATGCCGGACGCAGCGTCCATCCTTCGTTCTCTTTCTCCTACCCTCGTTTGAGAATCGACCGCCGCTAGCCACCCCCGAAATTCGAACTGTCACTGTCGGGTTATGCGTGTAAACTAATTTCCACGAGGTCGCCCCGTTCGCCGCCGTTCGAATTTTCCCGAGCTTTCGGCAGCCGCGTTCGTGAACGGAATCGATAAACGCCGGGTCCGAAGGAGTGGTCGGAAATTATCGATAAGCGAGGAGGAATCGATAACCGGGCACATAGAGGCTGCAAGATTGTCTTTCGTCGATGTTCGAATAGGACGAGGCAAACGTTCCGGGATAACCTCGGTTTGACACGTTGACTGTCATAGCGGTCATCAGTGACCGGCTCTTGTCTCCTCGATGGAGCCATGGTGGTCGCCATTTTTAAATTTACATTTGTTTTATTCGGAGCAGTTTTTGAATATTTGAACAGCATAAATAAATAGAGAACTTTGAACAGAAGACATTAATAATTTGCACTATCTTTTTTCTTTTTGCAATATTGTTTGATAATTCATCGTTATATCGTAAGAATAATGGAAATTTTTTCGTGGCCCACATAAAAATTGAGTAACAGTCCAAGTGTTAATGGAAGTTTCTGGCTGCTGTGTGTCAGAGACGTCGGGCCCACGTGTTTCGTCAGGCCTGAATTACGCGCTTGTTCTTTCACAATCGAAGAAAATGAGAAAGCGTGGACACGCTGGCGACCGAGGTGGGTCTGTCTTTACCCGCGTTACCCGTCAACCTGTTCTCTCGTCGTTTTTCATCCAGCTCGGTAACGATCCGCGTCGAATGCGGAATTTAGCAGAATTTTTGACGCTTAAGAACGGTACAGGGTATTTCGTGTTTCCCCTCCGCGTAATCGCGACGAGCAGACGACGAGTTGGAACTCTGGCGTCGCTTTTTAGACGGTTTAAAAATCCTCGGGAAACGGAAGATCTCGCATGGGACGGACGCTCGGGCACGTAGCATTTCCATCCAAATAATTACCATTACCGTAACATTACTGATGTCTCGTTTCCTGTCGGCGTTAACTCTCAAAAGATCTCTCTAATTTCGTTGAAAACCAACTATCAGTGGGATCGTTAGAGTAATGACAGACTTCTGGCTTCCACTTAACGGTATCCCCCTTGCGTTTTATCTCCTCTACACACCAACCACGATCCGCGTGGATTGACAAAAAGCCGAGACGCCTCTCTCTTTCCGTTTCCTCAGCATCCGACAAACAACAGAGGCGTGTAGCGTTAAAGGACCTCTTAGAGCAGCGTCGATTCCAGATTTTAAGGTATCGAGAAACGCTCCAGTTCCTTGTTCGTATTAACGCGTGTACGTACACGTCTGTACGTATGCGTGTATGTGTTTACACGGCCAGGGTCCCTCGTTCGATTTCCTCGATCACGTTCCTGCATTAATGCACGCCGGAGACCGATCCTCTTTGTAGTTGTTGGTGTAAAGAGAATATCCCGAAGGTTCGAGCAGTCTGCGCGGATTTCTGTGATTCGGATGGTACGAGGGCGGAAGGAAAAGGGCGAAATCGTCGTACGTGTTGTCCCGGAATGGCTGCAGGCGCGATCGCTGCAATATCGCCGATCGTCTCTCGATATTCTTTCTTTCTCAACTTTTCTCCCAATGGCACGTAACGGAGGGCCAGGGACAGGGGAATAAAATTTCTCCGGAGATGGATGCATCGAATCGACATGCGGTGTCGCGAGGCTCTTATTTTTCCCTGCTCTACGCCGGCGCGGAAAAGAAAAATTTCCACCCTTGATCCCGTCCACGAAACTCGAAGAGCGCGCGTTGTCTTTCGTGCTTCGGGATCCCGAGGCCATCTGGTTTGACCGTTTCCCGGTACCCCGCGAAACGCGCCACCCTTGCTAGAGCACTCGATAACGCGCGTCCCCCCCGACGACGCTCGAGCATTTCTTTCGGGGCACGGAGTAATGGCACGAAAGTAACGAAAGCCGGAAGAAACGGGGATTCTCGCATGTTTGGTCCATTTGTCTGGAGCGATTAGAATAATCGAAAGAGGCGTGGCCACGATGCGAGCACTCACGACGCATCATTGAGATTTTTTGAGACCTGACGACGCGTATAACTCAATCACGTCGAGCTCATCCTTTGGTTAATAAGACGAAGCATTAAGAGTGGCATAACAAATTGAAGATTGCGCGAGAATGTCCGACAGAGATCTCTTCGACAGGGATGAAAAACACCGGCCAAGATTACCGAATTACTTCATCCTCCGTAATTACCGGTGAATCGTTGCGTGTCGTTGAACAAGCACCGTCTCGAAACCGGGCGAAAGACGCGGAACGTCGCGAATGCGCGCTCAACGACTTATCACGGGACATAACGAAGAGCCATCAATCCTTCCGATACGATATCATCATGCGCAATCTCGCGCCGCGTACATCAAGCTAAGACGTATTTAACAATTTCTCTTCCTTTATCACCCCGTGGTAACACCGACATCATTCACAGCGCGTTATCGCCGCGAGTACGCGATTTGTCGCGCTCACCTGATTACATCCTACGGGCCCTTAATCAACCGGTATCGACTCTCCCTACATCGAACTCTATCCAATCGGATAAGTGACACGTTCGAATCCTAGTATCCTTTCGCTTGCTAGAACGAGACGCTCGCCGCTAGTTTCACCAGCTATTCCCTCCTCTCCTAGGAGTATTTAGTCGAGCGCGAAATAACAGGTTGCGCGGCGAAAAACAGCGGCGCAGATTGTTCGCCGCGGCCTTATAATTATAAATTACTCGTAATACAGGGGCAATTTGTGGACCCCTTGGTCCGCGGCGTAGCTCGCAATTATTCGGTGGATGCGTCTAGAAAATGATTCACGGCGCGATCAGAAATGAGGGATAAAAGAGTCCGGGGTCCGTGGCTACGTCGAGGAATTATTCCCGTGTATCCGTTGGAAGCTGCGGTGGCGGCGGCGGAGGCTGCGGTCGTTCTCTCGGATTGCTCGTTGTAATTGGAAAATTCGTTCGCTCGAGGGCGTATTCTTCTTCGCGGAGCGCATTTATCAGGTCGGCTCATAAATAACCTTGTTTCTTGCGTTACGCTAAATGAAGACGGATATCTTGTTTATGCGGCGTGCATGTGAAATGCTCCCGATGCATCTTCGAAGGCCGCGATCGCGGCGTTTCGAGTGGCATCCACTGGAAAAAAGAATCGCAGAAATGAGCTTGTTGCGAACGGGATCCGAGAGTTAATACTCTCCGTACCCCGGGGGTGTACGAGACGTTTCAGGATCCCGCGATGAAGGAAGAACTGATTGCCGGAGTGGTCGATGCCATCTTTGCGGTCGCTGCTTTTCCTTTCGTTTTCCTTTTTTTCTCGAATCTTATAAATCACTCGTAACGTTGCGTCGCGAGGATCGAACGAAGATGGCCGTCCTTCGAAAACGTCGGTTGCTCGATGATGGACTGCAAGAAGCGACGCGTTCCTCTGAAACCACGGTTACGGATGATGCTCGTTCTTCTATTTCTCGGCTCCCCCTTGCCATTCCGTTTACCATTCTATTTGCCGTTTATCCGACGTCGCGGTGCGTTGTAAATCGGCATTAATCACGCGCGCTATAAATAAAAATTAATTACGCGTTTTAATTGATAAGCGCGTAGCTTGAGAAATTATTCACGATTTGTCTGGGCGTTTTTAACGCGGCCAGAAATATCGCGTTCGCTTAGCTTTATCCAATTCCCGGTGAAAAACGTTCGCAGGCCGAGGGAGAAGAGATTTTCTGTGCTTTCGCCGTAGTTGACGGTGAGAGCCGTTCCGAAGTAATTAGCAATTTATCGTTGTCCACGGTTAGTCCGGGCTTCTTCGAAGCATCGCTGACCCGGTTGAGTAATCGCGATGTATATAAGTCGGGGCGCCTGGTTGAATTATAGGAATCGGAAAGTTATGTTTACCCCGGCCCTGTCGCACGGTTTTTCGGTTTTAATCGCAATTAACGTCTCGCGAGTATCTCGGTCGTTTAATCCCTCTCCGTCGCCGGCAATTTTAAGCAGCGCTAATTGCAATCGACATCGACACCTCTAGCGAGCTCAGTCGCTCGTTTCCGAGCTAATTCTTTTACACTTGAAAACTCGCCGGGGTATACTTTGCGTGTATATAATTTCGAATTATTTCCCCCCCGTCGTCTCGCTCCTTTTTTATTTATTCGAATTCTCTGAAATTTCACAGGACCGGATAAAGAGAAGCGAAGCCAGGGCTTTCATCGATCTCCCTGGTTAATTTACGCGTCATTTTCGTTTCATAAAGCACGCAAATTTTAAACTGTCTCGGAGGCTGGTAATTAGCGTCTATTAAAACTTGCGACGCGTACAATGATTGATTTAACGTTTGACGGAACGCGTTAAAACTCTGTAAACATCCTGCAAGAATTTTACCAGCAACTTGTAATCACCGGGATTGTCAATTATTTAAATTCATTAAAATTTTCGAAACAGAAGCTTGTTAAACATTGAATGCCTCTTGGAACTTGCCGCGGCTTATTGATAAATTGCTAGAACGCTGTCAAGACTCGCTGAATATTAATGCCCGGCGAACTACGTAACTGCTGCATTATAATAGACTGCCGGTACGTTCGAGTTCCTTAAAGGACGAAACGAGATTAACAACGCGGAATATGTTTCTCGCTCGGCATCCGGACCCACCTTTTTCTCTGTCCCGGCGGTCCGAATTGATTACGGGAATCTCGGCGACTCGACGGCCGCAATTTTAACCTACGAATCTGGGGTTCGAGATTAAGTCGGATATTTCGTCTTCAAACGGAACGGGAGTCTTCTTCCTTTGGTCCAACGGCCGGGAACCGTTCCCCTGTAACTCGCAATTTCCTCGAGGCCGACACGGCCCACCGAACGCGACTCCGACAGTTGGCGATAAGTGATAAAAAGTAAATAGCCTACGTAACCCCCGTACAATTTAT